GTATAGACTACTTTACTCATTTGAAGGGAAAATAACAAAATATTTGCATGCAAATAATATTTTTATTATGACTTTTCTCTCTTATATGTGCCTCGGTTTTTAATATTTTTTTAAATCTTATTTTGTACAACATCACGTTAAAAATTATTTTAACCTCGAAATATTTGCATGCAGACATTATTCTAATATTATCTGTATTTTTATTCTATGTAGCTACAATAATGTAGTTCGTTGTGTAACAAAAAACAGCGTTAGTGTTCTAAACGCCGTGTATATATTGCAGTGAATGCACAGAGCGCCCTCTACTGTTCAATTAAAAAATAGTTACAGTTCCTACTATAGTTCATGTGTATAAATCGGATATGACGTTTCCCTATTAAAAAAATAATTTATTCGCGCAAATTCACCCCAAAATACAATTTATGAAGTCACGGTGATGCCCTCCAAAAATAAAACAAAGAAATGACTAAAATGCTTTTACAGCGACGAAAGACCCACAGCTAAATATATATGTATTAGTAGTGTACACTTACATTGTTTAATATAGTTACTCGCGATGCAAACAGCAACGACGTGACCTAGTTTTATATTGTCAGAGTACTTACATCGTCCAACAGGTCAGCAAGTCACCATAAACAAGCCGTAAAAGCAATGCATGTATTGTGATGTTAAAACCAACGATGATTTACGTGGCATTTGGTAACCCCCACAGCTCTTATATTTCTTGACATATATTACTTCTGTATTTTTGAGGGTTGTAAAAGTAAATATGAGACAAGATATGTGTTCCATGGAGCAAGGACGCTCTTGGACGTTGACTAATTGCATATTAATTGCCTAAATTGCATAATAATTAACAATTCTTTCATTGCTAATTCAAGAAACAACATTCCAATAAGACTTGGTACTTGTTTGTCTGCGGTCAATTCTAAATACCTAATTCGTTAATTTCGCAGTCAAGCATACAAATTACCTATTTTGTATAATATAATCATAATCGTCACAATTCAATAATACTTGGTAGTATTAGAGTCAGACAGATGGACTGTGTAGTGTTTTGAGTTCTGTCTATAAATATTTACTCAAAGCCTAAATTGGTTTTGCAAACGTTTGCGTTGCCAAGTAGTTGATATAAATTTACGAGACCTGACCGATAGGTATGTCAAAATAAGGCGTGTCTAAATACGCATTCAGCGGGTAAAGTAGGACAAAATGGCGCATACCAACTGGCCTGTATTTGAGCACGATGGCTGTTATTTTGCCGACAGCGTCCATGACATGGATGCAGTGAAAGAGAGACGAATCGACCGATGGGATATTCGAGATGATGACATCATCATACAAACGTTTCCCAAATCAGGCACGCTATGGATGTTGCACGCCGTGTCACAGATGTACGACAACCTCAATTGGAAGCTGAAACCAGTAGACCGAGTTGCACGGCCCGGGGTTTGGTTTGAGAAAACAGACTCAGTCCCAGGTTTATATGGCAGTATGGTGAGGGCAGTGAAGAGCACATTTCATGAAATGCAGTCACCTCGTTTGATGATTTGTCACGTACCCGCGCAGTTTTTCCATACATCGTGGAGGAACGGCAACAGAAAATGCAAAATAATCCATGTAACAAGAAATCCCAAAGATGTATGTGTGTCATCCTTCAAGTTTTTCAAAACGCTTCAATTCGTCAAGATGCATCTGACCTGGGAGGAGTGGGTCAAGGCATTCGTTGAAGGACAGGTATTGTTCGGACCATGGTTGGATAACGTCTGGGGATTGGAATCAGTTTGGCTTGGAAGACAACGTATTACACGTGACATTTGAAGATATGAAACGAGATTTGAAGTCTGTATTGGTTAAAGTGGCCGATTTTCTTGAACGTCCTCTCTCTGATGATATGTTTGACCACGTGGTGTCTCAATGTAGGTTAGATGCGATGAGGGCTTCACATGCGGATGTACAAAAAATGGCTGTTCGGGATGAAGGAACATGGCACGAAAACACGAAGTATCTACGCAAAGGCGAGGTCGGTGACTGGAAAAATCATTTCACCGTGGCACAAAACGAATATTTTGACAAGAATATTACAGCAGAAGCAAAGAAGCGTGGACTAAAATTGCAATATGAGTGATATACGACATCTTGGCTTATTGCACTGAATGTTTGCAATCTCTTGTTAAAGGTACAATGACAGTTTTATAACATTAACACTAATTTACTACTATGCTTTTGCTGAGCGATTATTCTAGATTTATTAAGAAAATCAATGTCACATCTAACTCGTCCGATTGTGTTTAGGGCAGAGATTATAAACACATATTACAGGAACTTGATATTACCAAACGCTTCAGCGTGGTATTAAGAGTTTGTTTTCAGGGGTGGGTGATACCAAGGTGGGAAATGGATGCACATATGGGGTTAATTCCGTGAATTGCAATATAGAGGGTTCAGGCTGAAATACAATATA